GAAGAAGACGGTGGGTGGAGACGCTGTGTCCAGGCCATCTTTCATATGAGCTCACGGTACCACACTAAATGTCTGGCCTGCCCATTCATCCCCCCGCCCCCATTCCGTCTCCTCGGCCCTGAGAAGTGCAGCACTTAGTCTAATGTGAACGACACTGGCTGTTTCCAGGTTGCCCCCGCCGCCCTTATTGAGAAAGCACTAAATGGGCTGAGATTTATTGGCAAAAATGACATCATTCCTCTCTATCCTGTCTTTGGCCAGACTGTTGTGCTTTTAATTAATGCCTCACTGAACATTTTCTTTGCTCATGCCCTGTTTTTATGTCTCCATTTTTTTTGCTCCCTTCCCTCCCCCCCTCTATAACATAACTGGCTCAGGCCGCCTCAGAGGAATCCGTGCTCCACCTGGAATCAGTCAGTTTGAACTAAGTGCCATCTAGATTCAGGCACTGGCATCTATCTCAATGGAGCCGTTCCACTCAAACCCACAGCAGTGAAGGCTTTACTGTATGAGTGGAAGTGACAACTAACCAACACAAAGAAATATCTATTCACAGCTACTGATATGTATGAGACTCATATTTAACAATCAAAACTAATAAAATGTAAGATAAAATGCTGTGTCTGTGGGTGAAGTTGTTGTTGTTTTCTAATTAACTTTGTGATTTTTTTATTTTTGTCATTTTAAAGAGAATTAATCATGAGCTGTGCTTCAGGGATTCGTGTTCTCATGCATGTGTGGGTATGATGACGATGTCGTGAACGCAGAGGAAGAGTCTGAGTCGTGAAGCCTGCAGCTTGGCTCACGGGCTGAGAGACTCTCATATATACAGTATATATACACACACGCAGATACACATATATGAAGAGAGGGATTATTATTTCAATGCCAATTATGAACAACCAGGAGTTCAATCCAAGGACTGTGGCCATGAACTCAATACAACCATATCTCATCGGAGGTTGTTGGTTTTAGCCTGGTGTATGTGTTGAATCTCAATAATGTGTTGAAAGATGTGGTAAAGAAAGCAAGAATTAATGATCAAATCAACGAAGTAGCCTCTTTTAGGACGCTTTGTATAAAGGATTGAGTGTTTCTCTCTCGGGCTTCATTTTTTAAAATTTTATATTAGTATCTCTCAACATTTTCCTTATTTCCTGTTCAGATGACTTGCTATTTAAATAATAATTTAAACATATTACTTCAAATTAAAGTGTACAAGAATGACCTAAAAATAATTTTACAGTATTCGACTTACACTAAATTACAAAAATGGCTTTTGTACCACCATGCATGCATACCAAATTGAAGTTGTAATGCCTTATAGCACCCCTACAGGTGGGAGGGTGAAATAAAGACACCTATTTATAAACATTAACCTCAACAACTGGAATAATGAGAACCTAATACAGATTCTGCCACATTCCATCAGAGGGAGCCCAACTCTCACCAGTGGCACACATACCATAGTTTGAGAACCACTGCTTTAAAGTACTGAATTTAACAATTCACAGGTGAGTGAATTTCAGGTTAATTAAATTTAAAAAAATAAAAATTCAATGACGTCACCTATATTTTGCCCAATAGACATTTTAAAGATTTTAACAGAGGCTAAAGCTGCACTTATCTCGGAATTTTTTTTTTTTCACAACACAAATTCCATCCCTGTCTCCTGCAGGTGCGTTAATAACCATCATGTCTGCGGAGACATCTTTCAAGAGGCTGAACAACAGCTCTGGGTTACAGCAGGTAATGGAAGTTCAGAGAGTGGAGAGTGGAGATGAACCGTCGATTGCCTCAGGACGGAGCGCTGACTGAGCTGAGGACGTTTACGCAACAGCTCACTACACACGTGTACAGGGTTATTTAAGATATTTAGGCTAAAATGATTAAACGTGAGCATAGCAATTTAATTTTGACAAGGATTTAAATGGATTTATGTAAAGTGTACTGTGATACTTGTTTCTGTATTTTCTTCATTTGGATTTTACTTTTACAGTTACACTTTCTCTCTCTCTCTCACGCACACAAAACAAAATATTCCAATGTGACTAAATAACCTGTTTGAATCCATCCATCACAACCCTCGACCTGAAAATCTCATGACTGTCAGAACTGTCTTAGTTGTCAGTCAAATACACACACACACATACACATTGCGGTTTTTAGTGTTTTGTGAGCACTTAAGAAACACTAAGATTTCTCTGTCTTCTTAACTTAACTGTAACTACAACAGAAATAGCATAATCCTAATCTTAGTCCTGACTCTACCTGTAATCTGTTCCTACTTCCAATGCTAACTAAATACAAAATAAACCCTCCTTCAGTAGTGACCTACAAAATTCCCCTGCAAACAAGTGTCCCCACAACAACAGTATTTTCTTTCAAAAAAAGTTCCCAAAAAGTACAACTATACAACATACAGTTCACTCACTCTCTCGCAACTACACAGACATTTAAATATCTCTTTTCATGGAACAATTATTTCCGTTGACAAATTACAAATCAATACCCAGAAGCTAGACTTGGCTAAATAATATAATTTACTTTAATAATTTAATTTACTCACATATGTTTACAACTTTACATTTGTTGACACTGCAATGAATAAGTCAATAAATAAATAAAATATCTTTAGGTTTACCGACAACGATCACGAATACTTTTAAATCGCTGCATTTAAAAGTCATTTGTTCCTATACCATTTGGAATATATTCATTTATATATACAACAATTACACGAATATACAGCATCGTTACAACACAGGGCCACAGATGTGTCGGTAAAAGGTGCCAGACTCCGGTGTCTCCACTGGTGTCCGCTGTGTAAAATGGACCTAAGTTACGACACCCTCGATATCAGGTTAAAGTGACGGGATGGGAAGTTTACAGCCGCATATAAATCCACCGACATTGGCTGACATTTGTCGAGCATCGGCACCTCAGCCTCTCTGTTCCCTTTAAAGATGCTGTCGTTTTGGTGGCATATCGTCATCGTTATTTATTAGTATTGGGCGTATCGTGAGACAGGAGCCGCGCAAGGTTGAAAATACTCGACCAAACCTGAAGTATTTCCTCTTTTACGCCTAAACTGTAGTGAACTACTATATTGGTGGCATATTTTCATCTTTTAATCTAAGATAGTCCTTATTTCCTGTTGACTAAATAATGTAGTGACGTATGAATTTGTAAAAGACGACGATCACGGGATGTCAGACTCACGATAATTATCGTATTTCGCAGTTATTAATCAAACAACTACAACACCATATTATTAATTTAATGTCCCCTTTTGTACCTTGTGTTCATACACAATTCCAAAAGTCCAAAATTAAGTACGATAACTCTATTTTAACATGGTCACATTAACTCATTAGCACAACAGGCTAACCATCCCAGCTCATACCTGTTTTGACGCGTCGTCTCACGTGCCTCTTCACAGCCATTCAGCACGCGGTAAAGCCAGCCCGTTCAAAATGTACTGCGTAATACCGATAATTCCACAAAATACAACTATTCCAATTATTTTAATTTTTTTTAGCCCCGCAGGACACAGGTACACTCAGACTGTGCTTGTCTTAATGAGTCGTCTCACGAACCTCGTAAGAGCCAATCAACACGCGACGTAATGAGTGGAGACAGATGACGTAGGTAACGACGAGTTCGCCGCTAGTTTGTAAAGAACAAAAGTCCATAATGTTACCTTTTGTATATTGTACAGTTAATAATGGCAACATACCATAATGTACGCTATTTTGCTAAATCATTACACGGTCACGATAATGAATTAGATTTGCTAAATCATTACACGATCACGATAATGAATTAGCACAGCACTATAGCTACACGGTGACAAGTGTGTGTCTTCACAGCCAATCAAAACGCGACGTCATTTGTGGCGACGCACGACGCATGGAAGTACGAGTCCTGGCTATTGGTACAATACTTAGGTCTTTGACATATGGCAACGATGAGATAGAGTATTATTTTGTATGTCTGTTTTGCAGTACAACAAAATATGTGAGAGTACAGAAAAATAAAGTAAAATACATTTTAGGCCTCATTTTAAATCCCTCTAGAAAAAAAGTAAACAATTTAAGGCAAATACAGATTTAAAAACACAGATAAGCACAGTGTTGCTGGGAAATGCAGTATTTTTTAAAAGTGACAACTCTTGCTCGGTAGTTTAAAACAGCATATTGTATAAAGTTGATGTAATACCTGGTGAGTACATTTTGGACCTTCAGTTACTGCGTGAAACACTGCATGGGGAAAAAAAAAGCCTTAAATTTGCAGCATTAATCAAACGTCCGGAAGGTTAATTGACTGGAGACTGGATCAATAACAAGTGTTTCCAATGACACCGTCCTCGCAGGAAAAATCATTTCCTGTGTCCACTAACCTGCTGTGGCTGCTCTGTCAGTAAAGATTTAGGATGAGCAAACACACAATTATGGATCTACACACACACGGCACACCCTAAATGTATTCATCATTTGGAAAAATAATTTCTTTCAGATCATTTTACAGACATTAGTCCTTCAAAAATAATTAAAAACTATATTATTTTTAAAAATTCTCCTATTTTCAGCCAGGTTCCATTCATTGATATGATGTACATGACACCTGTCACAGTGAAACTGCATGAGCGTTTGGTGTTGTGAATGTTTGTTTTTTTTAATATATAGCAATGCATTTGCTTAAGCACATGGATTAATGTTTTGGTTCATTTCCTTAAGCACATGGATTAATGTTTTGGTTCAAGAATACTTTGGATTAATGTGTATAAGTATACATTAAGTACACAAGTATGCAGTTCATGGTACTGAACACTGTTATGTTTCAATAAAATCTCTTCCATTCAGAGAGAACGTAGGCTGTCGTAGGCTAAGGTAGTATGAGTTATTGGATGTTAGCGCCAGTGACCACCAGTGACCACCAGTTGACTTGGTGTTCTAAATGTTATCAGATACTGGGATGGGGAACGACATTTGTTTTTGTTTTTTTTTGCATATTTGCTGGCAGTAAGAGGTCTTAATATTGTGCTTAAAAGACAAACAATTGTCTTGTGAGCCTTAGCACAAAAGTGATGACGTTCATTTCTTCCAGAGAGATTGTTATTTGGGATCGGACCGTGAGTTTCACATGAATGGCGGGGAGGGTTTTGTTGGCATGGAAAGCATATATCATCAGTATCCACAACTTATTTTGCCTCTGTGCCAACTTATTCGAGTTTTGGAGATTCACTTCTAAATATATGACAAATAACCTTTGTCAGTAATCGCAAAACAATTCAGTCTTACTCTCAGGCTTTGCTGTAATTCCATTCCATCAATTATGATTTGTATCATCTTATCTGAAGATGTAGAGTGAAATCAGAGAAGAGGCAAGATGGCTTAATGCTGGGGTTCTCAAACTGGGGGGCGGGCGACCCTAGGTGGTTTCAGAGCTATTGTAAGGAGGCAAAGCAATGCAACTTTATTTTCATTTCAATACTTTTTCTTCTTTTTACTGTTTCTGCCCAGGCTCCTAAATTGATGTATTGGCTGTAAATGTCACTGCTCATGAGTGATAGAATAATTGAGAATCAACGGGTTTATCCGGGATTTTGCCAACTAAATAATATAGTGAATTGTTGGTCTCAGAAATGGTGAATATCACTTTCTGTGTTAAAAATCAGCAAAATGTATCTATCTGTGAAACATAGGTCCTAAAAAATATTATTGCTCTATTAATAAATATATTCTACACAACTTTACAACTCAAGTCAAGAAAATAAGACATTTTTTTGAAGCACTGACATACACGTAAACACCAACACCCACACTACACACGTGACGTGGACACAGATCCTAGCTCAGATATTGCACCGTTCCCCGGACCAGCTGAACCTCATGTAGGACAACTGTTCGTCTACTGAAGTTCCTCTGATCACCGTAGCAGCACATACGTTAAAATGATTGTAGAGGTTTTGGATTCACAGTCAGGACACCGACACAAGAGAGAGTACGTTACACTCAACACAGTGTATTCACAGCCAGCTTCCTGTTTCCAGGCAGAAGTAAAAGAAGGAGGCACCTTGTAATCAGCACAAAAACAACACTTTGAAGCCACTGCAAATTTTCTGTTGACTTAGCTTCCAGTGCGGCAGTAGCAAGCTTCCTGAAGAATGTTTTAGAATCCTTCTTCTCCGTGTTCCCCGGTGCCTCGTTTCCTTTGTGCCTCTGTGGTTCTAGTGTTCGTCTGGAAAGGCCTCCGGGCTGGAAACTCCATCATCGCTGAGGATCTGAGCGTTGGTGAAGGTTCCAGCCAGAGAAGCCCCCACGGCCTGGGTAACAGGTGCCATCTCTGAAAGGTTGATATCATGGTTCTTCACCAGTGTGGCCTTGTCCATGATCTCCTTGCTGTGCTTGGTCACCACAGCGTCCAGGACGTCGTACTTGTGGGACAGCATTCCACTCTCAAATAAGTACTTGGCCAGGTAAGAAAAGAAAACGTTGGCCAAAAAGGAAGCGATCATGGAGACGGACTTGAATGGAAACCGCTGCTGGACAAAGTACTCGATGTCGCCGGTCAGCGGGTGTGTCCTCTCCTGCATCACCCAGCCAGGGTAATAGATGAAGGGAGGGAGTTTGAGATACGACTCACCTCCACCGATGCGCAGCAGGAGACCAAAGATGTAGCCGGCCACAGAGCCGTAGGTGTTGGTGCCTTTGACGAATAGCACGCTCAGGAGTTGGGGGAAAATGATGACGTAGACCAGGTCAGAGCTCAGGTACCACAAGCCATACACTGACCCGGTCAACAGAGCCATAGCTGTGGCCAGGGCGCCGAATATGAAGATTGTGATGCGCATCACCCACACGATCTCCCAGTCTGAGGCCTGGAGGAGAAATAAAAAAAACAATTACTACTATTAATAACAACCCTGCTTAAAATGTAATTTTAAATGTGTTGATATTTATTTTTGTGCTGTTTAATATGTGTACTTTAATCTGTATACCATCCACCATGTATACATTGTCTAAATTATTATACACTTGTTTTTTTCTTCTCCTTACCAACGGGCGGCAGGCGACCTGATAGATGTTCCTGGCAAACATAGAACTGGCCGAGAGAATGGAGGAATCCGCCGATGACATGACTGCAGCCGACACCGCCCCCAGGCCGAAGAAGGACACGTAGGACGGGCAGAGGTGCTGAAGCACGATGGGGAGGATCATGTCTGACTGTTCCTTATCCTTCGGTGCGATGGACCCATAAGAAGTTTGGTTCCAGTCTGAGAAAATGGGGCGGATAGAAATGAATAGAAATGCTAACGTTACAGTCACACGCCCTCTGAACACACGTCATCCATGGACCATTAACTGATGAGTGAACTTGTTTTCATGTACAGAGTGTACATCAGCAGTGACGAAGACATCACTTTAAATGCATTTTAATTGGCGATCTAATGAATAATAATCTAATTTATAATGACTGATCACGGTCGCTGGCCATAAATTCAAACTTAACATTTAGATTGTTGACGGAATACCAGGGTGCTGGAAAAGTGCTGGAAATTCTGCATCTTAATGATCTATCAAAAATGAGTGTTTGAAGTACTGAGGACTGAGGATTGATTCATTTAGCCTCCGTTTGATAAATAATGATTCCTGCTAATGTTTTTTCTTCTTCTTTTGATTTGTTTTGTTTATCAACCTTAAAGCTCGTACATCAATCTCATCTCACGTTCCCTGATTCTCCATCATTTTTTCTTCTCTTTAATTTCCTTCCTTTTTTCCTGCTGTTTTTCTGTCATCCCCCGTATTCTTCATCCTTCATATTTACACAGTGCCCCCCCTCTCCCTCCCTCCATCCCTGGACACTCACAAGTGCTTGATGAGTGACTTCAACATGAAATAGTCTCTGATGAACCTGATTAATGAGCTCCTCTTTAGATACAATATTCACTAAACCAGCACGGTCCGACAGCTCTCTCCTCTGTCGGTCGTGACTGAGTTCCGTCTGCCGTTGTTTACCCTCCAGACACCGTATGCATCTGCATTCACACATGGAAATAAAGCTGCTGGAGTGTAAACAACCCTGACAGGAATCCCTTTGATTGCCAAATAAAGGATCAGTTTCCTGGATTTCTCATTGTCTTATACAGTAATATATGTTAATAGATATGGCTTCTATTTACCAGTGGAGGCTCCTATAGCTCCTATAAGGACTGAGGGGACGGCCATGACCAAGCAGCCAAAAGCAGCGAGGAAAGAAAGGACCTGGGCGTAGGTAGCTGACGAGGCAGAAAGAACCCGTTGAAAATAGACCTGCCAGGGAATCCCCCCCAAGATCTAAAAAACAGAAACACCATAGTGAATACAGACACCACAAATACAGTGGATTTAAGGCAGTTTAAGGCGACTAAATTTAAGGATTTAAGGCAGTGGATTTAAGGCAGTTTAAGGCGACATGTTGAACCCTATGCTAAAAGCCTCGGCTCACCAGCAAACAGAAGTTGTCTGCCCAGAGCCAGCGGTCATCAGGGTTGATCTTCCCCAGCCAGGGTGTCTGGTAGATGGCTTTGTGTGCTGTGACGCTGATGTCTGACACAGCAGGGTTGGACAGAGCCGAGGGCACACTGATCCACTGGTGGTCAGAGGAAGAGAAGATCAGAGTAAAATGGCCAGTAGGAGCGTATTGGTTAATTTTTGAGCAGTAATATGTCAGAATTACAATCCAAACTGCAAAATCTTGAACCAATGAGGATGAGGAATCTAATCCCATACCACCAATAATATAATTTTTAGTAATTTCTAAATACAAATATCACTTTGTATCTTGGAATTGAATTGAAATGAATTGAACATTTCACAGTAAAACTTACCAGGCCGATGAATATACAAAACAGCTGCACCACATCTGTATAGGCCACAGAGTAGAGTCCTCCAACCAGGGTGTAGAAGATGGCTATGAGAGCTGAGATGATCACCGACATGTTAATGTTTATGTCCACGATCACGCTCAGGGTGGCGCCTGCAGGGAAACACAACAGATACCGGTGTACTGTAACACTCCACAATTGACTTCAGTGATGAACCAGGACAGTACGGTGACCTCCTACCCAGGGCTGAGAGGATGGCTGCGGACCAGAAGATTTCTCCCATCAGTGCTGGGATGAAGATCAGAGCCCCCATCTTCTCTCCATACAGCTGCTGAAAGGGGTCCAGCATTGTGACGTATCCACGCGATCGCATGGGTTTGGCAAAGAAAAGCCCACCTGAACGACGGGATCAGACGGACACATGAGGCGAGGCACTTTTCATAATGACTTGATGACGTTCCATCAAGTTCTTGGGTTCTTAGAGACAGATCCTGGCCTGTAAATAGATCAATGTGGGATCTCGCTCTTGGCCTGTGGTGGTAAATAGATCAATGTGGGATCTCGCTCCGGCCGACTGTGGTCTGTTGAGCAAGCACTAAATTCCCTGGTTCCACTGACAGTGATTTAACCCAGGCACGAGTCGAATGCAGAGGCTACATTTTACTGAGGGCGGATGTGTCTGTACACGTACGACGGCCAATAAAAAGCTGACTCTTCTTCTTCTTCTTTGGTTTTACTCAACCAAATCAGAAAACACAAAACACCTCCTTCACAACTGTGTTATGTTTTTTTCTAGATAAATTAAATTAATTGAGGGCTGAAAAAAGTCAGAGAGTAACATTATGGGAAGTAACTGGTTCAGTTACAAGTTTGTTTTTCTTTTTTCTTTTAGGTGCAATAACAAAAGCTACAACATAGCCTCTGTTATTGCACCAAGGAAGGATCATGGTTCATCACCTTTAGGAGAATTGTCCAGCAACGTTTTCAGCCCAAAATAGAACAGAATTAAAGTCAGTCCAGTTATTGTCTTACAACTTCTGCTGCCGTGGTCAACAACACCACACCGTCTTACAGTGAGGAAATATGGGGAGTTGGATTTGTACCCTTAAAGACACCACTTCATTATAACTTACATTGTCACCTCCATTATTGTTATATTATTATTATTACCAGTAAATGCTGTTTTGGTTTGACTCATCCTACACATTTAGGAAGCTAAGGGTTTTTGCTTAGAGCTGCTGTAGCTGAGTGTAGAAGGTAACAGCTTTTTAGCTACAGTTGCTAAACACACAGTCTGACACTGCGTTTCACATTTACCTCCAGACACTGAGTTGTGCAAAAAGGAAGGTTGCACATTGATCTTGTGGTAAAAATGCTTTTCTACTATAGCCCAGGTTCATTTTAAAGGCACAAAAAACCCAGCATTTATGTTGGTATAGAGGTGCATTAGTAGACATGAGAGTGGAGTTTGCATCAATACAAAACAATATAGTTATAATTTCTGACCCATATTTTTTTTTTTACCAAACGTTGTGGATACAAGTCCCTGACAGGCCTGCCTGCAGTCCAGATCTTTCTCCTTGTTGTAATTCAAACATTTTAGAAGATTCAGAAAAGTGATAACAGGCTGTTCAGACAAAAAAAATCTTAAATTAGTTGTTATCTCTTAAATAAAGGATGTAATTAGGACAGGGAGCCTGTGATTAACCCTTTATCTGTTCCGAATTATCGGCATTAGTTGTTCCTCGTCCTGTTCTCATCTCTCGACATTCTCAGACTGTGATATGACATAAAGTAATAAATGCTTTATACTTTCGTGATTAAATGTGTGTGTGTGATTAAATGGAGAGTTTTTTTTTACCTACTACCAGGCTGAGAGCGTAACCAAACGGTGCCTGCGCCCAGGCCAGTCCGTAGTCCGGCAGATAGACGTACTCTGCTGTCCCATTGATGTAGCCCCCACCCACCCAGGTGGCTGCGACCGAGAAAAAAAAACAAACAATAACAGTATATCAATAAAAAATTACATTTTAAAGACTGTGAAACTGAATGATAGTTTACAAATGAGGCGCAGTGAAAATAAGAGGTGATAAAATGCGCACAGACTCTTCGCTGGGCTGAAGCCAACAAACAAACAGACTCAAAGAGTGGAGTTAAACTATACCTGTCATGGTGAATCCACCCACGAACAACCCGATGTCCCTTCCACCGACCATGATGCTCTCGCTCCGCTCTCCGCCTTCGCCGACTCCAGAGTTCTTATTCTTCCACGCGGCCCAGATGCCCACGAACAGGATCAGGAGATAGAAGACCACGATAGCTACCAGACCCTCGGCGTGGATGGCCATCTTCGCCCGGTCCGCGTCCACCCCAGATCAAGAGCTGGTGCGCACAGATGTCTGGAGGGTCATGGAGAGATCCTTGTAGAAGAAAAGTTAATACATTTATATATATATATTTGTTCTTATTTGTGTCTCGGTCACATTTACAGAAAACAAGTTAAAGTCATGGAGCGTTCGGCGCGCTGTCCATGGTGCTGAAAGCACAGACCGTAACGTTGGGTGATTTTACAGCGTTTGTCTCCAATCTATTCCATCAATTAAACAGAAACGTTAATGAAATCAACAGAAACACAATTAACTTAACTAAAAAGTCATCTTTAAATACCGTCCACAACAAAATAACAAATACTTTTTTATCTTCTTTTCTCACTGTTGTATTGTCTTTGAAGTGGGATAATTTCCACCCATTGGACTGACATTAAACAGATGACACACAGTGACTGAGAATTCTCTTTGAACACTGATCTCATTATAAAAAAATATCCAATGCGGCTTCTGGATTTCACTGTCCAAGTTTCAATCATATGTAAATCCCAGTGACTGAAACACATACGGATTTAACCCTGATTTTCTTAAAAAGATATTTACCATTAATAAGTAAAAGAGACATTTGAAATGAGATCAAAATAGGCAAACACACATGAAAATAATTCCTCAGGATTCGTTCGTAAAGGACAGTATAATTTAGACTATGGAACTATTTATGTAGATTTTTTCTTACAGCAAACTGCTCACTAAGGTGATGGGTAAAAGGCAGAGATCACATTTCGTGCACAGTGTGCAGCGGTGTGATGTGTCACAATGACAATAAATCACTTTCACTTCCAAACCATCAGGAGAACTCATCTCCTCTTCCTTTCTTATCAAATCAACAGATGAAGCATAGAAAATCCTAAAACTAAACTCAGAAGCATCTACAAAACACGTCATCTCAACTGGAACACCCCGTCGTCTGCAATTTCCAATTTCAGCCACCAGTCACTCCAATTATCCTGCCGATGCAAAATGTCTCCTAAAATTCAATTTTCATTCAAAAATTACCTTTAGCTTAAACAAAGTCAGACGCCAAAAAAACAAAACTGGATCCACATGCGTCTGTGGCTGCGCGGCAGCCGTGCGTAAAAGTCCGGATGCCCAGAGTAAATATGTTCCCAAACCGACCAACTGTTTACTGAGAGCAGCAGAAAACGGTCGCAGTGATGGTACATGTCTGATTGGCTGCAACATGGGACCAAAGCTGAGGTTCGAACCCCTCCTCCGCCACCCCCGTTGCGCCGACACCGTGGTGCCATGAGGCAGCCACTGCATTATTCATCCATCTAAATCAACATCTGTCATTTGGTCATGTGCAAAAAGGTTAGTTTAATAAACCGACAGGGTCTTACCTTTCCTCTGGAGGGCAGTTTTGGAATTACCTGCAGATGCGGGAGAATTAAAAGCCAACAAAGAAAACAACAACAACAACAACAACAACCAAAAAGTGGTCAAAGACAACAAGTTGGTGAATTTTAACAGGTGCCAGATGAAAATCCTCCTGGACGGACGAACGCAGGACTAGGTTCTTTTTTAACTCTCCAATGTTCGTTAGAGAGAGAGAAGGAGGGTGGGAGAGGGAGACAGAGAGAGGCGAAGAGAAAGAGGGGGGAGAGTGGAAGCGAGAAAGGGGGAGGGGAAGAGGGTGGAGATGAATGGGAGTGGTGGGTTTATTGGGTGCTGTCAACACACAAATATGAATGTCTTCCAGGGCAGGACAAAAATAGCACCTGATGGAGAGTGGCATGACGCACGATTCATCCGGGAAAGCTTTCCAATATCGTAATATCACATTGGCAGTGAAGGAAAACCTTTACTTCGCCAGGTTACATTTCAGGCCTGATTAACGACCTGAGGCACGAGGCCCCGGCTCTGCACGGTGACGTGAAGACTGCGTTTCCGCAGCGAACGCTGACTGGACGGAAGCAACGCTGTGGATGTGAGGCCCGCATGTGATCGTTAGGTCGTTCATTTGCATATGTAACACTAACGTTGTTACAAGGACAACTATAAAAAAATATTTTCTTTCAAATACAGTAAGAAAAACTACCAACATGTAACTACTACTACTGCCAAAACAATTACTGTAAACACACAAATACTGATGTATAAATCCTCTTAGAATCAAGTGTATTACGAAATTAATTATAATTTTAACCTTATCAAAGTCGGGAGTTGATGCAGCATCTTACAAAAACGAGTACTTTTCAGCAGTTGTGAAAGAATTTTCAGATTTTTCCTTCCTTCAACGCAGACGTTTAAAATAATTGTCAAATCTCTGTCCATGGTGCTGAACACACGCTGATTGTACGGTGTTTTCCAAGATTCTAATTAGAGACCACGGCTCGTCTGCAGGTTTACTACTTATTAAACGAGTTTGTCTGGATTGTACCACGGCTCGTCTGCAGATTTACTACTTATTAAACGAGTTTGTCTGTAATTAAATATTTGTATTGTCCTCCTCAACATTACACCTTCTGCTAAAATGTTCTTTTTCACATCCACAATTGTATTGCCAGTTGATTGTCAACAATATTATCCTCTATTGATTGACGAAAACTAATTATAAAAAAAATCATTATTATTTTTGAGTTCTTGACATTGGTGTCCTTAAAAACACAACACACTGACATTTGTTTGCTGAGAAGCTGCCATTCACACCTACACCCAACTTGTTCTTCACTCACTTTTCACAACACACACAGTGAAGCCACATCATTAACAGCCGTGGACCGAGTGCTTCATACAGCCAACAGTAAAATCTTTACCTGATTGGAGTAAACAAAGATGGTGACTTCTGTGACAGCTAAAAACAAGACGAGGATCTTTCTGGGGGAAAAAAAAGTGACGTGTCCTCTAATTTAGTATCTGTGCGGCTGCCACACTGTGAGGCAGGAACACCTCCAATTAGTGGCATTTCTGAGAAATAAAAAGCAGCGTTACAGACAGATATGAGCACACCCTGGGCAGCCTGATTACTGCTGTGGAACGCAAGAATATAATCAGGCACAGACATGGCAGAAATATGATGCATTCAACATATAGTCCTAACTCTTTTAGGGACCTCTCTCTGCGTAAAACCATCCTATTGGTGTTGGAGCTCAACTACAGAGGGTCCGACTGATTTAAACTGATACTAGAGGTTGTGCAGAAGTTGATGAACTGCCAAACAATGGATCAGATAAGTCACAGTAACTGACAGTTCCCTGGGAGCCTAGAACAAGAAAGTGACAAAGTATACAATTAGAACTGAGAAGAAACGTCGCCTGTTGTGAATACTGTTTATTTCTGCTGCAACCAGTGAAGGATTAGAGTTTAGCATCAAACCATGAATCTTTCCCGCCTGTTATGAAAGCTTCAGACCACTGCTGGTCATTGTACGGTGTGGGGAGATATTTTCTTGGCACATTCTGACGAACCAGAGTGCCATCTTGGCAGTACTGTAAACACTGAATTATGTAAGGAAGGTTTTTAAAAGACCAGTGAGCCTCAATGACCTGCACAAAAATTGTCATGTTTACGACACATGAAGGTAACTAAATGCTCTTATAAAACAGGCCATAAATCAAGTCCTACTGTAGAAAGAAGCAAAATAAAGCATTTTAGCGGGTCATTGCAGCCATCTAGTGGCCATTTCTGCTCTTACACCAGCACGAAAAAAATTAAGGTCTCCTCTGTGCTGCTCTATTTTCTGGTCGTTAAAATAACGGTGGGATTTTACTGTAAGTCAGACATTCATTCATGAATTGATGTTATTTAAAAAAATAAATTAATAATAATAATAAAACATTAACCATTAAAATTAACCAAGACGTTATTTTACAATTATTATCAACAATGGATCATCCTGGAATCAGAACATTAGTCAGGAACGTTTCAGAACATTAGGACTGATTAACTCTACGCACCTCCCATCTGTGAACATTTACCGGACAATGTCGCCACCTCCTGGTATTTAGCTCGTAAGGCAGCATATCAACAGGTCTCAGCTCCACCTAAACAGACATGATCAAAAAGTAATACATAATAAAGACACATGTTGCTGTGTGCAGCTATTTGATTGGCCTAGAAGTAGTTTTGGACTCTGTATCCATCGTTAGAAAGGGAGCAGAAACAAGACGTGTGGTTGTCCTTCAGGGCCTCGGGAGGTTTGTACATTGGAGCAGGAGAGCTCACGTTGTTGAAGGCCGGGGGACGGGTTACTGTTTGATCCTGCCGCGTACGTGATCTACCGCCGCTGCTGTTCCAGCACAACACTGCTCCTCCACTCAGGCTGAGGAAGGCGGAGGCATAGCCGATGTAGACTGCCAGGCCGATTTCATATTTCATCCCACCGGGAAAAAAAGGGTTGTAAAAGTCCACGATGACATCGTGGGTGGTCCAGGACACAGGAATGAGGCAGAGAAGACCAGCGCAGAGGAAACAGACCCCGCCACTCAACGCCAGGGGTGTCTTGACGAACGAGCTACGAGCGAAGCGGACGCATTTCATTCCCATCACCGAGAGAACAAAGGCCACGACTGACATGGCACAGGAGAGCACCATGAAAGCCCGAGCGGCCTGACGAGGAGAGGGAAGAAGAAAAAACATGCAAACTTTTTCATCAGTACAAAAGGAAAAAAACCTGAAAGCGCTGAGTGTTATGAAAATGAATAAAACAATATTTTAAGTTTAAGAGTTAAACGCAGAAATAACTCAGCTCTAAAAAGTCAGTGTTTGAGAAAGTTGTTATATATTTATATGTATATATAAACACATATTTATATATATATACATATAAACCTGACATATATATACCACCTATATATATCAGTCCGACAGTTTTAACTTTTTTTGTATCTGTTATTGTTGCAAACAGAGACCCCCACATATAAATATATTTATATATGTATATACATATAAATCTGACATATATATACCACCTATATATATAAATATATAAAACATATATTTTATAAATATATGTAGCATTTCCATATTAAATATATGCATTTTTACATCTGCTTTACATTAAACTAAATTATGTTTATACATAGAGTTGACACTGTGTTGACATTCCAGTGTTGCCGTCACCGTCTGGCACACGTGTGGTACCTGCAGGTCAGATGGCAGTGCCAGCAGAGATCTGTACAGCTCACATTGGTAAATCCCCGTGCTGTGCCACACACACCCCATCCATAGGCCCGTCATGTATTCGGTGGCTGTGATGACGTTGGAGCCCACGTAGGCTGTGCTGCGCCAGTGGGGCAGCACGGTGGCCACAACAGTCCCCGTGAATCCCAACAGTCCCAGGAAGAAGCCAAAGACCTGACCTGTCGTGCTGGCCATGGGTTCAGTCGTACGGACGTGCAATCTGAAAAATTTAAAGAAAAACAAAGTCATTATTCATTAGTAAAAGTTATTAAAGTTATCTTTCAGTCCAGCAGTAAAAGCCATTAAACCATTCTTCAACTTTTCACTGCATATAAAATATTTAACAGTTTTACAAACAACATGAATTAGTTCCTTGATTATGAAACACTTTACCCGGCTTCCCAAACCTTTTCTGCAGCGCCCTCTGTTGATAGTGTAAATTTATTGCATCCACAACTACTGCTTTAAAACTCCACTGACTTTTATTTGAAACAAAGTTATTTGAAGAAAAATAAAATAAAATTAAACATCAGTGCAATTTCGCCAATCTGGGATAAATATAGTGAATTTTGAAACATTTTTAAAATAATTGCTTCCTGTCAATTGCTCTGCCCCCCCCACTTTGTGAACAACTACCTAAAGGAACCATTGGTATGAAAACTGTTATTTGTCGTGATATAAATATGTCTTTATAAACACATATTGTTCTATGATTGAACCAATGTTTTTTGTTCACCAAATTCTGAATATTAATTGACTTCACAGGTCAAAGACAACAAAATTATGTAGTGCAAATAAAAAAAAGAAATATAAATTCTTAAAGTCTACAGGCAGCATTTTTAAAGTGACGAGTATAAAACAACTGATCAAGATATTCCTTAACTTTACCTGATATGGAGTCAGTCGCACTCAAATAATAATGGTAATAAAATAATATTTAAAAAAAATCTACTAAACTCTATCAATAAAATACTATTATTTAAAAAAAATCTACTAAACTCTATCTGAAACAGGAGGCCTTTAGCAAATAACTACATTCTCCCTGAAGATTTTTTTTCTTCCTTAAACAGCACGGCCTCCGTCAACACTGTAAATCCCACTGAGCTGTTCAGTCACCGAGTCTGAGTCATTCTCTATGTGTCCCTGGAGTGCAGGCAGAAGAAGAAAAAGTGTAAACTTTCAGTGTTGTGGCGTCAGTCTCCGGTGTGAGTGGCAGATGACTGCATCTGTAACTAATGAGAGCAGTGTTCAGCTTCACCTGCTTAATGCTCTCCTCTGGAGGCCCAGTCACAGCCGTCTATTGGTTAGGCTGCACGCCGCCCCCTCAGGAAACAGGGGAAAAAAGGAAATTAAACATTTACAGAAGTCAGCCAAGCTGAGATGGCTGTTTTAAATCACTAACTTTCTTTTTTTTTTAAAAGCTCTGTGGGTATTTGTCAGCAAGGGACTGAACAACTTAATCATAAGTGAGTGCCTTAAAATGTTGCAGTAATGGATTACAGTGACTGCTTTAAATCATATTATGTTATTATGTTATGTATGACCTGACACTTTCAGACAAAACAATGCCCATTAATTCTCCTTCAACCTGGCTAATAATTGATAATCCTCACTGAGTAAACGCCTGTGAAATCTAGTCACGGTTAGGAATTTACTAATGTTCCATCTCTTTCTTCTAAACAAAATTCCCCGCAGGAAGAAGGAGCCAGAATAATAAGTTCCCACTGTGTCACAAATAGAAAAATATTTCTGCTCAAGCCCACGGGCGACATTCAGTTTTAAACCAGGGCAGAACGCCCTGTGTTTATGTGGGAAGAGAGATTTTACTTCTTTGAAGAACAGAAGCAGTTTTCTATAAAGACTGATTGTTGCCAGACCTGGCATTGTCAGACCCGTCTAAATATCTCTACAGATACAGGCCTCATTGTTGTCAAACTGCGACAAACATTTTGTTGCTCTTTAGTTTGACTCTGAAACAGAAGTTTAGTGACTTATTACCACCAAGGAGCATCACTTTGAGCAATAATTTGTGAATATGGACTATTACAGATGAGGATCCGTTTTTTGTTATATATATATATATATATTCTATGCAAAGGTGAACATTCAAACCTTTATAACTAAAGCTTGTACTCAAGTAAAGGGCATTTTTTCTTGCAGTTAAATTCTCAGCTAAAACAATAATTAATATTTAAATATTCATATATTTATGTTATACAATTTCTGCTGAAACTGTTTATATTGACTCATTTTTAGAATTAGTTTTATTCTCTCTCACTTTATATATATATATTTGTGATCATTATATTTATTCAGAAATGCTTAAAATGTCTTGTTCTGTATAAGAGCATTTTGAAAAGAGTGTAACCTCTCAGATTTGAAGTGATCAACATTTGACTACACTCACCAGCGAGGTCACAGCAGGTCCACGGAGGCACGGTCACAGCTGTCCATGCGGCACACTGGTCCTAAATGACAGCGACGTATTTGGAGAAGTCTCAGACAAACAGGGTCATTGGCACTGATTTCACACCGACTGGCTTTTCCTGTCTCCACAGCGTTGTCAAATAAGTGTCCGTCCGGATGTCATCATCAGCATTATCCCTGTCAGCGCCCGCAGCACCATGTCAGAGATGACATTAGTGACTGTCCGACAGCTGGCCCGCTGCTGTGCACAGACAAACCGGATGAATGTCAGCTGTTGGAGGCAGTGCAGAGACAGACAGTGGGGATATTGTTCTTGGTGCTCGTGCTGTTTGGAGTCTCACAAATTCCCAGCACAGCATCTCCAGATCTGTGAACAGCGATGAATGAAACGATAATCCTATAAATCTGCCTGCTCTTGTTTTATATCCACATAAAGGACACTCATTCATATTATACTGCCAGCAATCAGCTGACATTTAATTTTTAGAAGTTAACCTGTCAGCCTTAACTTTGTTTAATGGCAATGCGGTGTCGACTGTAAAGTAAGATGGGTGAGGTCACTAATACTTCCAGTTTTATCTTGGGTTCATCTTCTCAGCTCGTCTTTGCTCGTTCTCTCTCAAACCGAAGATTTTTCGTCTTCTATGGTTCCCTGTTTAAAGAGAGTTAAAGGATGATCTTGATCAAAGTCTGACTGCGAGACACTGCAATTATGTTTAAGAGAAATGCAGGAGAAAAGATAAATTAAATTATATATTTAATATATATATATTATTTACAATAATAAAACAAAATAACCTCAATATGTGATAAATTATGCATATATATATATCATTTACAATAATAAAACTAAATAACCTCAATATGTGATAAATTATGTCACAACAAGTACATTTTTTACGTTAGGACAGGGATTTAATTAGAGAACAGGTTTGAGCACAGGTTTTTATGACACTTTGATTTGTTTATGATACTTTGATTTGACTGATACTTGAATAGAGTTCCTTGTTTTCATCACAGGCAGCAGAAAAGCCCACAGTATTCTGGCTGCTCTGCTACAACAGAACCTGAACACAAATCATTGCAATTGGTAAGAAACGTCTAACAGGGTATGTATTGTTCTAATTAAATATGTATGTCCTATAAAATGACACATTATCTAGCATACCCTAGCTGGAGCTAGCCAATTAACTCCTGACGTAGCACAGAAGCTACTGAGTCTAAGTTTTAGAGATTCTTTCAGCTTTAAAATGAATCAAAACCCAAACCAAAATTATCATATTATAAACTCTCGCAACCTTAATGGGTACAATAAAAGTACAACTAAAGTCAAACATTGAAAATTAATCGATTATCCCATAATTTTGTCGATATATAATTATATATATATATATTTATACTAAAAAAGCTAGTTTAGCTTGTGACTTAGCATGATTAGTTTCCGCCATGTAACTGAATGGGGCGACAAGCTAACAAATATAACAGATTTAAATTGATGACAAATGTAGATACAGCAACTTAACACTATTGCGTATTCATTCAAAGTATTTAAATAATAGTTAAATAACCTTTTCAGTATTACGTTCACATTTATGCATTTAGCAAACGCTAAATTATTACATTAGCTACCGCTACAGCACGTCGATCATTTTGAGTTTTACCCTAAGGTAAAAAAGTACCTTCCCTAAAACGTCCGTGTTTTTGAACGCCTTTCACTTAGCTGCTTAGGTCACAATGGAGAAAGACTTCAGGAGCGTCAAGAAAACCATTTATCCAACACGAAGCATCAGAACCCGCAGCCAGTGTCACAGCAGACGAAGCTACTTTCACCAGCTCCCACCAGAACTGTTGTACATGGTACTGGATAAACTGTCCCGTAAGTGTGAGGCACACAGCTCTGAAGCCATGATGTCCTTCACATACTGAAGGACCATCTTACTTTTTTTTTTTTTTAAACAATTATTGGATAATTTACTCTGATTCTGAGCGATAAAAATAAATACTTTTGGTAATTAGAAATAAACTGTTGTGTATTTCAGTGCTGGAGCTCAGTGTGTTCAGCCTGGTATCCAAAGAAATGAACAGGAGCATCATGGACTACATCTCTACAAAGGCCTGGAAGTCCAAAATAATCATTCAGAACCACTCAGCCTGGTTTGGAAAGGATTTCGCCAACAGAGCCAAAAGACAGTTCAGAGATCTGGGTAAGTGACAGTTTGCATTTGCTAAAGGTGGTTTTGTATATTTTTACCTATTTTTTAGCAATCAACAATCAGCAGAGTTCTGGACGTCCAATTACTTCTAGCGTTGTTAATGGAACTTTGTGTGGACTTCCTCAGGTTTATTATTCAAAAGATGCAGCATGTTGTTGCCAGCAAAGGAGAAGTTCAGGTTTATCTTCAGCCAGCTGTCAAAGGTAAATGGACAGGCAGGAGTGACAACACACAGGGAGATAATGCATTTTTTGGCAATTCGGTTGACCTGTGTTAACCTGTTTTTCCCAGTCCCTCTATTCCTAACTTTCCTCGCTCTAAATACACTGTACAGAGAATATATTTATCAATTTAATTAATTAATTCAATGCGCACAATTTTGATTTGTTTCAGATCCAGTGCTTCGTATTAGGACAGTGTCTCTTCCCAGGCTGCAGTGGCTTTGCCTGCTACGGTGTCTTACTACAGGTGTGATGAGCTGTAGTACTAAAAGCTGTACTTTTTAGTATTTATCGGGGTGTAGGAGTAAATAATAAGTTTAGTGAACTAGCAGAAAACCTGTAATTTTCTACTTGTTGTTTGGCGGAAATGCAAACCACTCCTAAACTCCTGCGTTGTTTTCCTCCTGAAAATTAGTTTTTGCACACAATTGTTTTCGTTTAAAGATATGTAACTGAAAATAGCGAATCTCCCTCTGTGACCTAATTCTGTCTCCCCCTCCACCACGTTTGTTGTTTTGTGAGGTGGTAAAAGCAGCTGGCATCTTTAAAATTATTCTGCAGCTAAAAGGCTTGGTCTGTTTTCTCATTAAAAAACACCGTAAACACTCCCAAAGGGCAAAGATAAAACACAGGCAGAACCAACAATGCTGCTAAGCTAGTTTGAAATAAAATCTTTTAACATACCCCAATTAAACATACTGTGAATTGTTTTACAAACATCTTAATGTAGAACTGTACAAACTGATTGTTTTATTTTTACTTTTGTGAATTTTTCTTTCCTTTACATAAAACATTGTCTTTATAAGTAGTTTTAGGATACCACAACTCATTTTAGACCTGGAAACAAATAATATTATTTCCTTTTTTTCATTTCACAGACACTAACAGCACAGTGGGATGAGCCAGAGTGTCAAAGAGTGATCAACTTCCTGTTGGAGCAAACAAACTTACTGCAAAAAATGGAGGCAGTTGTCACTGCCAAAGCAGATAAGTATTTAAGTATTAAGGAGGGGAAATACTGCTGAATACTGATGTGGAACTTGTCTTGAGAACATTCTGTTGCCTCTCGTTAACCTCGTGGTTTTCCGTCTTTCTTCTAAACAACATCCCAACTGTGAAAATACAAAAATTACTCTTTGTGACTCAAGACATTTTACTGCTAATGCTCATATACTGCAGGTTGTCATATAAAATCCTGTGATTTCTGTCTGTTATCAAAGGTGAGAGGGGACCAGGAGCTGCAGCTCCGTTGTTTCTGTCGTAAGGTTCTGTTGGATCCGTGGATCAGTCAGCCACAGTGTCAGTTCTGGCTGATGCAGCTCTTGAAGCCTTGGCCCATGGTCAGTCAGGCTCGCCTACTGTTTATCTTCTATGGACCGCTGACACCGGAGGGTGAGGCAGCCTTTTGGTGCTCAGTTAAATTGTTTTTGTTGTTGTTGGCGTTCAGCCGCCTCGGATTAACTCTGAACAAAAACGTTGCCATCGGCATACTGGCTGTTAAACGCAATCTGAGAAATCGTGCACACTTGAACGCCACCAAGTCATTGTGATGACAAACAGACAGACAGACAGTCAGTGAGTGAGTGGGACTCCCTCTCTTTGTGCAGGTACTCTTGGTTGGGAGGATGTTGTGGACAGAGGACTCACAGTTCAAGCTCTGTGTGACCTGGCCAGGGCTTTTCTCCTGCTGTTTTGTAAGAGAGATTACAAAGTCTGGACGACCAACTCGATGCTGGCGATCCTGGAGGAGCTTATAGGTATTAACATCAGCTGTTGGCAAAGATTGTATGTTTCAAAACTACAAGCGATGATTATTATTCAAATATACACATCACAGTTAGATTGTCTGAAAAGTAGACGTTAAGATATTCACACATCAACGTCAGATCTGGATACATTCTCTGAATTGTGAAACAGTAGATTATTATTGACACTTTAATTTAGTTCAATATTATATTCAATATTATAATTGATATTATTATATTATTCAATATTAAATGTTACCAAAAGCCTTTATGAATCAGAACTTACATGTTGTTTTATTTTACATCTCTGTTAAAACATATTAGGTATTTCCGAGGGAGAAAAAGTTTGATTCATCTTACATGTTGTTTTATTTTACTTAAAACATATTAAGTATTTCCGAGGGAGAAAAAGTTTGATTTTTTTTTTCTTTATGTCCAGTGATTCCACAGCCGTGGCATATGGAGAACGTGGCTCGCCTCTTGGTGCTGTGTGGAGACTCTCTCTGCTACACTGTGTTGGCCAGCAAGGCCCTGAACGGGCGACTGACAGAGGTCTCCAGAATTATTGTCTACATCATACTGGTAAGAGACGATAAAATACAACGCGATTCAATATGAACTACGTGATGCAATACAGTAGGATACGATACAACAAGGGTCAGTTTTTCTGGCCGGACACTCAAATAAAATCAAATAAAACGCAACGCAATGATTCGTATACTTTACGGTTAGAACATCGAAATGTCTAACGTTCATCTTGCTTCACAGTAGCTGCACACAATAACCAGGACAGACATTAACTCTGATATCTGTAAAACAATAGCAGCTAAATTCATCTATTCATTCCAGTGTTGTAGTTCATTTGATGTAATGCCGGCTCAGGAGGAGTGTGAACAGAATACGTCTAAGTCTCACTGTGATATTAATTATTGGACATTGCTGACCTTTTACAGTTGTCAAGCTTTTTTTTTTTGTTAACCTATATTTATATTGTCGAGTCTCAGAGGACTCGGTGACTGACACAGCACTGCCTCTGTTTCCCCACGGCCCATTTAATATACGCAAATTAAAAAGCCATTTGTGCTGACTGGATCTAAAACAATCAGCCGAGGGTTTTAAACAGGCTGCCACTTCACGTGGGAGCTGGACGCTCACTTATTGTAGTGTCAGTAATTTTATGGGACAGCCTGACAATTCTTTTTTTTTTTATATTGTTGATATTTTCAAGGCCGCAAAAATCAGCAAGATTCTTAGCAAAAGAAAAATGAGCAGAATATATATTTATACTCTTTCAACTGCCTAAGGGTATGAATATATATATGTATATATATATATATGCATATATATATGTACAGTATATGTGTATATATATGTGTGTGAGGGTTTTTGTGTAATGTAAGTGTGAGTGTGCATTTGTAAAAAGAATGAATCTATATGTGTGTGGACAGACATGGTTGCTTGGTTAAAATTCTTTTTTTTTTCTACCCTAAGGTCCATGAGAGGGATCGGTTCAACATGGCTGCTGTGGTGAAGCTGGTTCTGCAGATCAGCAGGATCTTCAGCACACCTACTGAGAGGTTCTTCTTCATCCAAAAGATGGAGGACATGTTCTCAGAAATCACCAGAGAGTTCTATGAGATGTCTGTCAGAGGTAAAAGAAAAACCATCAGAGTGTTGGGTCGATTATAGATTAGCATTGAAGCGTATGGACAGTTGTACCTAATGACGTGGCCGCTCATTTCAATCATTTACGATGTATTCCAGGGAACCAGCAGGACAACAGGGAGGCTTTCCAGAAACTGTGCGTTCTCCTGGACTCCAGCGCTCGCTTCCACACCACACTCTTCCTTCAGTTTACAACATGAGAACGCAGCACTGGAAACGAACAGGAGAAGTTACAAATGAGAAGAATGATGAAACAGCGAAAAAAAAAATCGTTACAGTTGAACATTCACAGTGTGTTTATTAGATGTTTTTCGCATTAAGTATAAGAAAATGTGATGTGTTGAAAAAAATGGTTCAAAAACATGAGAAACTGTATAGTTATTTATATATTTATATATTTAAACTTTTATATTTATACAGTTCTATTTATATATTTATATGATTTTTTTTTAATTTGAGGGTTCCATCCTTTAAAAACTATGTTTTCTAAAAGCCTATTTAATAATAATTATATTCTCACTGTTACTCAGTTTTTTAAAAGCCTATTTTATAATAATTATATTCTCACTGTTACTCACCTGTTAATAAAAATGTTTCCATTGAAAACAATTACTTTTTGTTGTCATAACAGTAGAGAGAATTCTTTAATTGTTTGAAATTTTGGCCAAATATGTGTTGGACATATTTTATTTACATGTCATCGACCTTATTCTAGACGGACATTTTTCTTAATTTTATTAGAGACGCAGATGTAGGAAACAAAGCTGGTGTTAAGGTTTAAGGCCTGTGACATCATGGTCCCAGCAGCAGCAGCAGCAGCAGCAGCAGCAGCAGCACAGTCAGTCAGTCAGGGTTTGATCATGGTTTTGACATGATCTGCCAGGAGAAGAGGGACAAACAGAAAAAAGGTGCAGTTTGTATATATATATATATATAATATATGAACCACAACATGGCACAGTAAATTTAAACATTTTCAAAAATCTTGCACTGATTAAATTGCATTTTTTTGTGCAAATATTGACCAGAAAATCAATATTCAGACACAAAAACTTTCTTCCTCATTGCTATTAAAACAAGAAACCACACACCACTAAATAACAATGCTCAACTCCACACCACACGAAGCCCCATTAGGATGAAATTATTTTGGAGTATTTGAGGAATTCGTGACATGCTCTGTCTCCACCGGTGCATACGTACAGTGTGTGTCAACCGTGTCAAACTAAGGGTTCTGTTGGAAATGCTCATTACGACTCAAATGGACAAAAAATTGACGGCACCACACAAACTACCACCACAACAACAGTGACAGTCGACCATGTTGACTGGATGATACTCACAGTGTAAATTGTTCTATGTTACAGAGAAAAGAGAGTTTTTTTAATCAGGGAGGCAAACAATAATAGTATACATGTAGTACATAAGTAAATAGTGTTACCTTGAAGCCAGTCCAGTCCTTCCTGCAGACCTTCTCCTTTAACAGCATTGCTGGCACTGAAAAACAAGAAGTGTCCACAAGGGAATGAAGAGTGTGCAGCTCTAAATGAACCACCGGTCTAATGAGGAAACATTATTTATAGAAGAGGCACACAGGTTTGTACTAATAACCTTTTAACGTGGGAGACATTACCAAAATAAATAAATAAATAAATAACATCCTATCTGTTGTTGGTATTCCCAAGAGACCAACCCTAATATTAGCACCTGGTAAATCAGGTAAATGACAATATTACTTTGAACAGATATGAAGGTGAAAAATAAACAGCAGATATGCTGCTGTATATACAAACCTACACCAAGGAATAAGCAATGAATGTGTCAGCAAGTAAATGTCCATACCCAAAAATACTTCAAACAAATCAGCATTAAAAATATCTGTAAAACGTACGTTTCAAACCTCATCATACACAAAAGAGTGGGAACGGGCAGAAAGTTATACAAGCCGCAGGATCATGAAATGAAGAGTTCTGTATAAAGTTCACTTGTACCTGCTTCAGCCTTTTGACCTCATGTTCCAGCTCCATCTCTCTGCTCCTGCTGTTAAAGTCTGCCATGCTGGTGGAGGACGTGCGGCTGCGACCAGGTCTTTCTCCTTCCAGCTTTAACATCTGAAGGTGCTCCAGTTCTCGTCGCAAGTCTTCTATCACCTGGACAGTAAACTGCAGTAAACTGACTGAGCCAGAGGTCTGGTTCTTGTTTGGACAAGGACTGGTTTTATGAGAGACAATATTGACATGGAGCTGCCTTCAAGGTGAGCCGAATAAACATGATAAAAACAACATGAGGAGATATACTCATGGGTGCCACATTTAAAGCAGACAGGGCAGAGTAGGTGAGAATCACTTACTGCCATGAAACCGTATTTATGGTAGGAAATCTGATATTGTTTGTTTAATGCACATTTTTGTCTTTTGGCAGTCGTGAGCTGGTCTTCTGTCTCCTCAGATGATTTGACTTTAACAAGACTGTGACTGGCACCAAATAATCAACGGACTGGGCAGAGCAGTTAGGGCAGCAGAACACAAGGCCTCCCACCTCCTGCATGGCCTCCTTCTCCTTCTGGAACTGAAGTCTGTTCTCTTTCAGTTTCTCCATCATTTTCCTGTAAAGATCCATCTCGTCCCTGAGGCGCAGACTGGTGTCCTCCAGCTTGTCTGTCATTCTTTGCACTCCAAAAGTAAATTAAATATGAATCTTCAATAATGTAAATAATTAGCATAGAATTCTATAATTAATCACATCATCATCTTATATCTACACATCATGGCGTCAGCCAATCACCTGCTGTGGCTTTGTTTACATTTGTCGACAGACAAAACCCAGAAAGGTAGTTGTTCACCTCTTTGCTTTTCTTCCTCTCCTACCTCACCCGTTATCCCCTCGCCCCCTCTCCCTTCCAGAGCCAGACTGTCTGGTTTTTTTGTTTCTAGACCTGTGCGTCGGTGTTTGGCACAAGAGACATCAACAAAAGTACAAAAAAAAAAAACCAGAAAAACAAAAAAACAAAACAAACCAACAAATAACTATTCCTGCTTTAAAACCTGTTAAATACAGAACTGATGTGGGTCAAAAAGATTATTCATGAGAAAGTTTCCGAATGTTTCCATCATTATAATAAAAATAAAACTGATCAAAGTAAGCAAATGAGATCTTAAACTCCTGGGTCGGGGGCCAGGATTTGACCACATTTGGTCCACTAGATGCCACTAATAATTACATTTTGCAAAAGGAATTTTCCTTAAATGTATTTTAGTGGTTATGTATGTTCATTTTAGAATGACAAATAATAACTGGACAGTTTTTTCCAAAATATCTGTTTTTCTTTTTTTCAATTTAAATGCCGCGCGCCTTAAATCAGGCACTTTTTTCACAACCTCTGCCTCAGATTTTTCCTCCCTTGCCGTGGTGTACACTGACAGTTAAACGAGACAGGATTTACCCTCGTGGTTGAGCAGATTATCCAGCTCCTCTTTGGCAACAACCATCCTCAGTTTGTCACCGCTGTCAATGACAAATATAACGGCGTGGCTTTCTCTGAGGAGGAGCAGAGAGGACAGAACGGATGAAGAACAGCCTCGTTATGTTTGAATATTTAATGGGTCATTGTCCGACACGTACTTGTAGTAATGCTCCCACAGGTTCCTGTATCTGCTCTGTCCAGACATATCAAACACTGTAAAGGACAGGCTGAGGGGGGAGAGAGAGGGAGGGAGGGAGAGAGAGAGAGATGTAAATCAGTTTATAGAGATGCTCATCTTCCTTCATTCATTTTTAAAAATGCCTTTTGTGAGAGGCTGGTCTTTAGAATTCTACCTGGAACACTTGAACTTTTCGATGTTGAAGCCGATCGTTGGGACGATCTCCTGCGCCGGTGTCTGCGCACAAACACACACATACGCAAAGACACACACAAACAGAACAGACAAGTAATGGCAAACGTGTGTCAACGTGGTCTCAGTATGAAGAAAAGTCCAACACACACTTTACCTGAGTCACATGTTTCCACTCTGGTGACAGTGGGCCTAAAAGATTGGTCTGCTGTAAACAAGCAACGTTACCTCAACACTAACGGTATTAAAATGTATTCACACCAGAGGACGATTCACACAACAGCGTCCATTCACGCTGGGTTTTTTTTTTCTCTTTTTAACGACAACAATATAAAAACAAAAAATTCCAGGATAACGTTGTTGAGTTCCTGTGTCTTGTACTCACATGCGGAGGCTTCAGCTGGTTGATGATGGTGGTTTTCCCACTGTTGTCCAGACCCAAACACAGCACGTTGACCTCTTTCTTCCTCAGGCCGAGCCAACGCGACAGTTTATCCAGCAGCCCCATCAGACTCACAGGGAATCCCAACCATTCAGAAAACTGTAACCTTCACAGAACCATCACTGGTCATTCAACAAAACACTGAACAGAAGAACGAAAATATTATGGTCGACATGTTGATAGTAGTGAATCCCTGCTCACGAGCTGAGTTGACGCTGGAGCGTCCCAGGCTGTAGCAGCTAATCCTATTAGAATAAATGAGGCTTTGTGGAACCTCTCACTGACCTGGTTATAGAACATGGAGCCTTTAAGGTTTCCTTCATACGAATGCATCGTGTTTCTTTAAGGGCATTTTGGAGCCTTAATGACCTCTCTACACAAACACACATATATATGGGTATATATGTATGTATATATTTATATATATATATATTTCAATATATACATATATCTATATATTTATACATATATTTTGCCACATACTGTACATACACATATATGCATATAGACATAAATATATACATATATCTATATATTTATACATATATTTTGCCACATACTGTACATACACATATATGCATATAGACATAAATATATACATATATGTGTATATATATATATATATATTTCAATATATACATATATATATGCACATATGTTTTTTGAAGACAGGAGCAAGACCTTCTCTGACATTTGTTCTGCTATGATTCAAACGCTCTGCTCACTTTCTGGTTATTTATTTCAATTCAATAATTCATTCGATTTATTGATATTTAATATTATAACAATCTGTTTGTTGCTACATGCTAGGTGTCCCGCAATGAGTTCACACGCACACACACACACTGCCCGTGCCACCTATATAACACCGCCTTCCAGTTCCACAGGTCAATTCTATGCAGACGATGCGTTCTGCGATGTACTGCAGGGCGAGTCAGAACTAAATAAGAATGAGCAGTCGAGTGCCAGAACTGTTCATCTTTAATTGCAAATAAATATCCGCTGCCTCTTACAGTGTGCAAGATCTACAACATCTCTTTGGAAATCATAGAAAAATAAAATACAAGAATTATAAGTATACTTGTACTTTGTACAAAAGAATGTTCTAACATTGCTCAGCAGTAGAACATGCTAAACAAACAGCATCTGATATTCTCCTTATCCGTCGAGGGGGTGCTGACTGTGAGGGAGGTGTGTGTACAAATATGTCTGTGTGTTGCCATGTGCACATGCGCCTTTCCTACTCCTGAAAGGTCCGGAAGCATAACCACTGCGCTGTGACCCCAGAGCACGGATCCTGTTTGCCTTTTGACATTCATCACTGTTGACACAGTTTGTTGTCTTGACGACGAGCTCTTCATATTCACATGGATGACGATTCAAAGTAATGGCTAGGTCCTTTGACTGCACTCAAACTCTGGAGCTACTGTAAAGTGTATCTGTCATTGTAAGGCATTCAGTGCATGTGTGAGTGTGTGTGTAGGTGTGTGTGTGTGTGTGTGTGAGACAGTGTGTGTGTGATGCTGCTGATAATGACAGTCGTTGAATATCAGCCTGAGATTCTATGCTGATTACAATCTATGAATATACCGCCTTCTGTCCACCACCGGACCGGAGAATAAAACTTATAATAAATTCCTGTCTGTCACTGAGTTCTGGAAACATGACATCAGTCCCAACATCAGTTGGTCAGATGAATCCTCCTGGAAGCTTTACATCTGTTACACCAAGCACAGTGGTTCCCAAACTATTTCTGCGGCACCACTGTAGCAAAAAAAAAAAAAAAAATTTAAAGTGAAATACATTTTTTTTCTCTCTCCGTGACCGTCCTTGCAACAGCTCTGCGCCCCCAAAAGGGGGCCAGCCCCCCACTTTGGGAACCACCGATCCAATACAACAACAACTTTGCGTGGAAGTACTAACAACAACAGGCGTAGGCCGGTACTGTGAATCAATCGATACATGTTCCGTTGGTGGACTCCCACCTCAACAGCAGCGAAGATCTGTGAACATTCATATGCAGGTAGTGGAGACTGTGAACTTTCAGGCAACGTGAAACATTCACAATCCAAAAAAAGGCAGAAAAACTGTCGGAGCAGAGTTGTTACTGTTCTTCATCAGAAGGCATCGGACCCAGTTCTGGTACAGGAGCGTGTGAGACTAAAACCAGGCGGACGTGGCTGCTGTTCAGCATGAGTTTTTTTTTTTTTTTTTTTCTCGTTTTATCGTACAGTACGAGCCTTCGTCTCTTGGAAATACTGAGGTGACTGTATTGCTGACGTTATTAAAAAAACTAACCCATAGAAAAAAAGAAATAAAAACATTTTAAGTAAGTTCCAGATTCACTAGGGCTTTCACATAAAGGACCGCACGTATATAGATAGATAGGTTATGATAATAATTATGGAATATTCTTCTATACACTTTTAAAACATTCACGGCATCTTCTTAACTTGCTTCTGTCTTCAAGTATTAGTGTACAAGACTCTCTGGGGAGAGGACAAATTAATTAACCCCCCCCCCCAAAAAAAAAAAAAACACAACAAAACCAAAGAAGTACTGAGGATACTTTGTAGAGTAGACGTAAAACATTTCAATTGCACACCCGATAGCAGCTACATGAGCACTTAACTCAGAGCAAGAAAAAAAAAAAAAAAAAGAGAAGAAAACTCTGTAGATTATGTTTATAAATCTACATCTCTATATATTGTTGCTCCACACACAATACTGCTGCTGCAACAAGGCATTACATTTCCCCTAAGCGAGGGCCTGGTCCAGTGTGTGTGTGTGTGTGTGTGTGTGTGTGTGTGTGTGTGTGTGTACTCAGGCTGTGATAGTCTGGAACACTGTGGACCCACTGGGCGAACTGGGAAAAGAATGGAGAGTATAAAAAACAGGTCTGTTACTACTGGACGTGTGAGGGAGAGACCGAGAGTCAGTCCAGTCTGTTCAGTTCGACTCAGGCGAAGGCTGTGGACCGGTCGGTTTCTGAGGTCTACACTTCAGTCCCTTCTGCTCCGCCTCTGTGTCCGTCCCAGGTTGTGGTAAAAAAGTGCGTCTTCATACATGGAAACCCTTCTCCTGTTCGTGCAGCAGCTGGAGGCGAAGAGTCTGTAAGCTGCTGATGATCCGCCTCTGGTGGCCAATGAGCTCCACCCCGATGCTCCTCACATCTCTAGGTCGAAAGCAGAGAGACAAATGCGGGGAAAGCACACGGAGAAGACCTTTAGTAGACTGGGAACGCCGTGTTAGGAACAGCCTGAGTGACTGACCCTGTCTGTTGTCACCTGACTGTTTTAGTGCCGTCTGTGATCACTAGTGCACAGATAGTGGTCAGAAAGTATGTTCACAAAAGTTACCTGCTCTTGTCTTAACAGCAGGAAGTTGTTGGTTTAATCCCTGGGGGTAAATCTATTGATCTTTCCTGTTTGGAGTTTGTACGATTTCTCTGGTCTCTCGTTTTGGTCCAATTATTGGGTCGCTCTACAGCAGAGGTGTCAAACTCAAATTCACACTGGGCTAAAATGACGTCTGCCTTTTCCCTGCAGTGCCTGCAGGCTAAAATTACGTCTGCCTTTTCCCTGCAGTGCCTGCATTTACCCAGGTGATGGCGTAGAAAAGGCTAAAAGCATTTTAGCATTTTAGCATTTTAGCATTCATGCATGACTTTTACATGTCATTTGTCTTAGTTCGTACAAACACTGTAACATAAAACAGTTATTAATTGATGTGGAACATGCAGTAATAGAGTACTACGAAGTACTACGGAGTGGTGTTCTGACGTGAAATAAAAAACTGTCATAGGACAAAATTCCACTCACTCAATGCTCATTCCGGCCACTGAATCCAGCGTGCTGTAACCCGCTGCCATGAAGTTACTGCTGTACTGACTCATCTTAATGGAGTCCAGCCAGTCAGTGACAGAGATGAACATCGGGTAGTCCATGTCCTCCCCGGGAGACTCTGGAAGACTGGGACAACCAGGAACACAGATGAAGAGAAATAACAACAACAACAAGAACAGAAAATGTATTATTATATACACCGGATTATTTACAGGAGGAATACAAATAAGTTAATTATTATTACTATATCAATTATTATTAGAAGAAAAAAACAATTAATACTGTTAAAATTAAAATCGGTGTCAAAAAATTTAACATTTGAATCTGATTAATCACAGGGTACAGCAATTAATCAAAATTAATTCTGATTGTGTTTTAGTTTCTAGATAAAACATTACAAAAAATGTCACTTGTTTTCTGTATATTTCTGGACACAAAACCCATAACAGCAGGTAAATATATATATATGTGTTTTTATGCAGCTCCACTTTCTCCCCACAGTATAATAAATAACTCCCCATATATTAAATTACATTAAAAATTAAAATGTCATGATGTCCTTTTCCTGGATTTAGGACAGTCTTTGTTAAGCTGATGATAACATTAACTTTTACAAGTGAAATAAGTGAAATTCTTAGGGCTGCACCTCTGAATGTCCTCGACCAGCGGCAGCAGGCTGCTGGGGTTACGGATCAGTTTATCCAAGAAGGAAACAATATCTGGGAACTTGGGCCGATGATTCCTCTCCTTCTGCCAGCAGTGCAGCATCAGCTGGTGCAGGGCGACTGGGCAGCCCATGGGCGCGGGCAGACGGTAGCCCTCCTCGATGGACAGGATCACCTGGAGAACAGAGGGAGGAGGTGAAGAGTGACGGGAGAGAATAAACCGATCGACTTCAGATCTGTACAAATCTGGTCCCTGAAAAGTGAAATAAATAAAATATTTTTAAAATTGAGGATAATCTTTACGACTGAAACTAGAAAAACTGAAAGTGTCTGTCTTCTTGAGTATTGAAAAGTATCCACTCTTAAATGTGATTGTACTGACCGAACGGTACACTGAAGGTGTCTGACTCTAACGAGCAGCACCAGGATGTCAGACGGCGGCCCGCGGGGCCACATGTGGAGCGGCCAAGTCTGAGGTCATCTGAGCGGAGCGCAGTGAAACTGAGCCAATCAACTGATGAGTAATCAAATTCCTACAGATGGCAGACGGTGAACGCAACACTGGCTGTAGCCTAGCAACACACAAACCCCCAAAACAAATCCCTTGCGCGCGCGCGCGTGTGCGTGTGTGTGTGTGTACAAAAGTGTTGTTTCTGGAAGTGAATTGTCAGTTCACTGTACAGCAGCACATCCTTCTGAAGCAGAACTTCAAAATGATCAATCATCACTTTAACCCTGACTGAAAAAAATAACTGTTTATTCACTACAAATGTCACCGGAACTGATTAAATTACATTTTTTTTCAGGATACTGAAATTACTCAATGTTATTCAATAGTACTATGTTTATGTTTTACATATATACTGTATACTATGTATATATATACAGTATATGCGTATTTTGTGGCAATATATTTATATATATGTGTATGTATATATATATTTATATATGTGTGTAGAAATATATATATTTATGTATATATTTATATCTATATATATAGTTATAAATATATATATAGTATATGCTATATTTACTTATATTTATATGCTCTATTTACTGTATACTATAGATATATATACGTATATACTGTATATATTGTATTCGATCTTTCTGGCCATGATGCTCAAATACCGGCTTCCAACATTCTTTTAAAAACTGTAAAAAAAAGCCGCGACTTTAATAAATAGAATCTGTCGTCAATATTTTCCTCCTCCCTAAACAAGCGTGAACTTGACCTCTCCTGACCCCTGAACGCATCATCGATGCATAGCTGGTGAGGAACAACCTATAAATCCACTCAATTAACAAGGTTTTTTTTTTGTTTTTTTTTCCCGGCCGAGCTTCCTGTGTTTAAGCAGAGACGAGGGGGATCTCAGGGTAGTTTATAAAGTCCACTGCTGTGCGGTGCTAAAAAAGTATCGCTGCATTATGTATAATAAATAGAGTCATTTATCAGAGGGAAAGTAAAAGGGAGGTTTTAATGCCCCGTCCCGTTGGTGGGAGGCTGTAAACGTGCACAGATATGAGTTTGATGTAGTATCGAACGAATATTCACCTTAAAATAAAGTTTAAATAAAGTCCATATTGAGAATAAAATCAATAAAAAAAACCCAACATATTAGAAATTATGCCTTCAACATGCATCAAAGGCAAAGTCAGAACAGGATTTGTTTGTTTTTTTGCCACAAAATGTCTATTTCAGGCGGTCGGTTCCTGTGCGTTGGAGACACCTTCTTGGACAAACTGTTTTAAACTTGACTTTATTACAGTATATGTAGGAGTTTCAGCAGCTCCAGTTTGGTAAAGCAGTGATCTGTGATCTCTGTGGGCTGCAGCGGTCAGCCTCTGACCAGGACGGAATTGTGTAAAAGCTGGTTTTGCTGCTTGACCGGACCTTTACCTTAGAAAGAACATCTAAGCAATTCCCAAATCCTCCCCAAACCCTGGGACTTTGTTGTACTGTGTGTGTGTGTGTGTGTGTGTGTATGAGGTTGAAAGGATTACTGCGGAGCTTCCACACTCAGCGGAGAGAGGGATGGATCTGATTCTCCAATCCTGACCGCAGCAGCAGGATCAGCGGGGGAGCTCCGAGCCACTGAATCTGCAGCTTTAAACCCCCCCCCCCCGCCCCACCCCCCCTCCACTGGACCAAAGTCCTCTGAACCCCCTGACCTTTGCTGCTCTTTTGCGTTCCGTCTCACTCATCTTTTTCATCCTCTCGGTGATTCACTGCTTCTAACCTTCTTACTCACAGACGCAGGGTTTTTTTGATGTCTGGAGCAGCCGGCGCTCACATGAAAGGCCGACAATTTGATCAGGACTTTATCACCAGAAATAAATGAAGAAGTGGAGATTTCCCCCAGTGGAGCGGGGGATATGAATCGACAAGTCCAGCCTGAAGCAGGTGGGATGATATGGTGTCTTAAAGACAGAGTAGAGCAGAGTGGGTCGGAGTGAAGATGATCTTTGGAAAAGACAGTTTCTCCTTCCAACAACTAACTCCATGATTACACTGTGATTCACAGATTCCTGGAGAGAGCAAAAAAAGTCAGTCAGTAAGTCGATCAGTCGGTCGGTCAGTCAGTCAGTCAGTCGGTCGATCAGTCAGTCAGTCAGTCGGTCAGTGTGTCAAAAATGTGAAAAGTCCATTCCTGTTAGGGTTGGTAATTGGACCAATGGGAACCCGTAGAAAAATGGTCCCGAGAACTCATTCCCTGTAAGGTCATTCAAGGTCGTGGAATAAATTGTCGGTCGATCTCAGACCAACTTCAACCTCTAATCGTTTATGACAACAGGGAGGTCAAATTCAAATCCAATCAGATGTCAGAATGACAGCACGAGGGTTAAATCTATGTACTACTTACTGCAAAGACCACAGATAAAATGTACTGCAGAAGAAAACCACATTACGGTGAACTTTACTCACATCCTGATTGGACATCTCCCAGTACGGCCGTTCCCCATATGACATCACTTCCCACATGACAATGCCGTAACTCCACGCATCACTGGCTGAGGAGAACTTCCTGTAAGAGATGGCTTCAGGTGCTGTCCATCGGATGGGAATTTTACCACCCTGCTCAGAGGCAAAAACAGTATCAGAATAAATATGTTGTTAGTTTGAAGTCATGAACTGATTATTACACAAATCTGGAAATCAGACAGGATTTCATGTTTTGAGTTCAGATCATTAAACTCCACCAAAGTTTGCAGGTTTCCTACAGTATATTTGAAAAATTACTTCAAAAACTGAACAAATAGCAACAACAAATACCCCATGCAGTTGATTTAGACAAACAGAGAAAATGACGACTCCATCAGGGGAGAAAATGACAAGTTGGAACGTCTCAATATTTCACCTGAAGATAAATAATACAGCGAGGAGAGTTCAGGTGTACCGTGGTGGTGTACGCGGCCTCGGGGTCGTCCTCCAGCACTCGGGACAAACCGAAGTCTGACACTTTACACACCAGGTTGCTGTTGACCAGGATGTTTCGAGCCGCCAGGTCTCTGTGAACGTAGCCGATGTCTGACAGGTACTTCATACCTGAGGCGATGCCACGGAGCATTCCAACCAACTGGATGACAGTGAAGTGACCATCGTGTTGCTGGCAGAGAGAAGAGGAGAACGACGAAGATGAACTGACACATTTGAAGCTGTTTTTTTTTTTTTTTAAAGGTGGGAATTTTGGGAATGTGCATCAGTGTAAAGTGATCTACTGGTCATTGTGACACCAACCAAAGATGACCTCTGTTTTTTTTACCCATCAGCTTAGTCAGCAGGGGGCGATGCCTTGCTCATAGCACCTCAGTGGTAACTTGGCAGCTGGTGGACTCGAACCTGAAACCTTCCGGACCCAAGGCTGCTACCTTAACCACTAAGCCACCACTGCCCAAGCGCAGACGGCAGTGCATGTCACTCTGTTCATGTGTGTGTTTACATGTTATCTGACGATTCCTCACACAATTTATATAAACATATATGTACATGCACATACATATATACCTACATAAATATAAACACGTTTTGTATATACATATGCATATTCACATATATGCGTCTATGTACAAACATGTATATATAAGTACATATATTTATACATATATACCGTGTGTTTACGTAAATACGTCACAGAGTGATAGAGAGAGAAAGAGAAAGAGAAAGAAAGAGAGAGAGAGAGAGAGAGACCAATCACAGATCCAGACACAGAATGGAGTTCTTAGATCATCGAGTCACTCACCCTCAGAAATGAGTCCAGTGATCCATTTTCCACATACTCCACCACTATCATCACAGGTCTGCCTGTACAGACACAGACACAGAACACATTTTTAAATATATATATATATATATATATTTCATATTATTATTTCTCCTATGAGGAATAAAGGTGAGCTAAGCCAGGCAGGGTAAAAAAAAATTAAATAAAAAATTCTTGTCTTCTCCCCCTGGTGCTTGATGAACAAATGACCTTTACAGTTCATCATCACATTAGCATCTTAAGCTACGTACAGAATATTTGTCAAGTTTTATAAATTTACCAACTGCCCACACGGAGACACACGATCACTTTTACTGTACAACTAAATAGACCTGACAAAAAGAAACATTTGTTAAACATAAATAAAACATTTTTAGAGACGTTGCTAACTAAAACAACAAGTGTTGGATTAAAAAATAAATCTAAAAACTTTGACCTTTTGCACTTTTGTTCTGTTTATGACACCAGTATTTATGACAAAAATAAACAACAGTCTGTGTCCATCTCTGACGCGCTCTCCTGACCAGAGGAGTAAACATGCAGCGCAGCGAGACGGTGGTGGGATTTGGAATTCCGACCGCTTTTTACCACTCGAATTGGAATGTGTAAAATCAATGAGAGGTGAAGTGGTGTAATGTCAGAACAAAGGTGTGGGAAAGACTTCCTCCCTGAATAAATGCTGTTTTTCCCCCTTTATTTCCCTTTATGGAGTCAAGACGTTTGCTTCCAATTTCATGGCTTTACGCTCCATAAGTAACAACCGTGGCCTCGTTCTACATCACTGCCAGGTTTGACGCAGTTACAGAAGAAACACAGATTCTGTTACAGCGCAGCCAAATCAAATGACGTCTGTCACCGCTGTTAGCTACAACAGTTCTCAGCAGCTACACATCAGGTGAGGTGTGGAACACAGTCTTCAAGTGACCCGGTCACGGTGGTCACCGGTATAAAAATGCAAGCGGTCGCTGGAGAAAAGTCACTTATGGCCAGAGAACAGTTTGAATCTCTGACCATGTGATTGACAGATGGGTTCATTTGTACTTTGGTGTGTGTGACGTGACCCATGGTTTACACTGACATGACAATGTAGATCTATATTAATTGGAGGGAAAAAAAAACCCCCAAAAACATTATTATTAGTTGTGGGCCAGATTGAATGGTTGAGTGGACCAGATTCGGCCTGCGAGCCACCAGTTGTCAATTATCATTTGTTTTCCTCAGTGCCACTATTACGAGCAAGATTGAACACAGTGACCCAGGCCAATACTGTTGACCAACAGTACAGTCAAAATTTGATTTTTATTACATTTTATTTTAAGTGTCCCACGCCCCAGGTGTTTGTCCACAAATATTTTCTGTCCCTCTGACAAGTATATTTGGTGACCCCTGCTGTATGTAGACGGTAATTAATTCCTTCAGTGTTCGGTCACTGCAGGGCTGACAGCTACTTCTCCTTTGGAGAGAGAAATAATGTTGGGCCAAACATAAGATTGGAATAAAATGATAAAATGAAGATATCATTGAATTTTTATTTTAAAAAAATGAGAAAAATGAAGATAAGAAGGAGTTAGTGATATTTTAAAAAAAATGAAGATAAGAAGGAGTTAGTGAATACAAAAGTGAACACATTCAGTGATTTTTTTAAAGTTTGGAGTCCTGCTGTTATTTTTAGAGCGGCTCAGTCACAGGGAGGATCAGATTCTCGGAGCTGCAGAAGCCGCCCCCTCACACTCATCCATCAGAGACTGACAGGAAGTGATGTGATCAAGCTGCTCGTTCTCCTGTGCTAATTAGCCAAGTCTAAGACAACAACGCGTGGTTATGCAGTGCAGCGCCTGAACAATAACAAGCGCACCTGTTTACCAGCGTCCAATGTGTCACCTGTGATTTTAGTGCAGGTATAGCAGTCAGTCACAGCACAATACATCCCATAATTAGTCTCTGAAGAACAACAGCAGATGGAGGGAGGAGGGGGGAGAGAGAGAGAGAGAGGGAGAGAGGGAGAGAGAGAGGGAGAGGAAGGTAAACAGACAGGGATGAAGAGGAGGATGAAGAAGAGGAGTACGGTGGGCTCTGCCGTTACTTTATGTGTGTGTGTGGCCCGTGTCAGACAGGACTTCTGTATGTGTGTGTGTGTGTGTGTGTGTGTATATATACTCATTATTGTTGCCTATTTAGGACCAACATTGACATTTCGTCTGATTTTTTCCAGGACTCGTCGACGTGACGGTAAAAATGAAAACCCTGTCGTAACGAGAGCGAAAACTAATTTCCGAGGCTGCGGTTCAGGTGAGGATTAGGATGGGAATGAAACGGTTTCTGGTTAAATTGGAAACAAACTTGTACAAATGAGGAGAAGTCGGTGCAGAGGCTTAACAACAAACCTGAGTGTGTGTGTGTGTGTGCACTTAAATAATACACAAATAAATAAATAAGTGCGTAAACACAAACACAATGAGTTACAATTAATTTTTTTTTTTAAGTTTGTGACGTGACTTTTTTGTCTTCAAATGCATTATTTTATAATTTAGGTATTTTTTAAAATATATATTTTTTTATGCTGCAAAATTTATAAACTCCAAAAAAGTTGGAAAACTTTCATTTGGATACTTTAAAAAAACGTCAGTACGATAATCAAAAAAAAAAAGATCCTTTAAGCTGAATCCTGGTCAGGAGGATCAGTGCGCCCCCTGTTGGCATCAAAGGGAAGATTTGAAAGTTTTCATGGGACACATTCAAATTCACACTGACGTCTCACTTTATTTGCCCCCCCCCGTAAAAACAAGCATATGTTTCACCAGGAGGAGCCCCGTAAAACACAGCTCGTTAACACACACACACAAACACACAAACACACACACACAAACACACACAAACACACACACACAAACACACACGCGCAGAAAGGTGTAAATAAAGAAAACTGAACTTTTGAGTTTTTTTCTGAAAAATTGTTTTAACTTTAAATATTGAAAACCGTTACCGTTCCGACTGGACGAACCGCAGATCGAGGTAATTAACTAACTAATTAGTTAGTTGGTTATTAAGTGAAACACAGGTGCAGCAAAGCAAACCCTAACCCCATATTGATCAAAGGATGGAGTAAATGTGATTTTAAATGAATTTCCCTGCTGACGTTCAAACACAAATACAGCAAAATACACACATGGTCAATACATTCATATATAAATATCTAAAAGTTCCTCTTACTTTTTGTGACGACGCCTTCCAACCTGATGATGTTGGGGTGGTCGAACTGGCCCATGATGGATGCCTCGCGCAGGAAGTCCCGCCTCTGGCGATCCACGTAGCCTCCTTTCAGCGTCTTTATGGCCACGGCGATCTCCTTCTTCCCCAGCGTCCTGAGTCGGCCGCTGCACACCTCCCCAAACTCCCCTGCAGGAGGACGAGAACATCAGAACATCAGAACTGCACAAAGAAAATCTCCACCACAGCATCATGATGTACTGGCGCCATGAGCCATGAGGGGGCACTGTTGCAATTCCCATCGTTATGAATCTAATGGTTTAATATGATGAAAATTCTCTCTCTCTCTCTTTTCTTCCTCTGAAAAAAAAAACCCACCACCACATCTATTCTTGCACTTTTCTTTGTTCTCTCAATCTGTTCTAGCTTTAATATTCCTGCAGTCGGAGCAGAGAAAATGACGGTGAGACACTGGGACGGGAGGGTGTGAGGGGGGGAGTGTGTGTGTGTGTGTGGGTG